GAAAAGGATAGAGGACAGCCAGTAGAAGCTCCTGGGACAGGCCTTTTACAAGGATGAAGAAATTCTCATCCGACGGGACTAGATAATAATCTCTTGGACATCCATGGCTTTGGGAGGAAATCAGCGGGGACCAGGGAGGGCTGTACATAGAACTGCTTCACATCGGGGCTCCTGGAGGTTGTGCCACCCTGAACACCTCTGTGTAAACCGGTGTTCAAGGTTGGCAGGTGTTTACGGGGACGACAATGGCATCAACTTCGTTTTTCAGTCAACACGCTCCGTCTTTTGGGTGTTGCCTAGAAAGTTGCACTTCTCCCCACCACAGTTTCATGCCTGGACTCTAGAATGTCGGTTAATATTGTTGGCCATTGTGTTGTTCTGTGTAACTGACCACTTATTCCTTGACTTACTCATTTAGCTAAAAATTGAGCAACTGGTATATCCTCAGTTTTTCATGGAAACGCTCGTATTTGATTTTCACTGCAATCGTGTGCAGCATATGGCGTTGTCTGCTGTTTATACATGAGGAACCTGAGTCTCAGAAACATTACACAACTCAGGTTAAGGTCATTTTAAAGAGAGGAATGAGTAAGTTGAAACAAATAAACGTATAGGAAAACATTTAAACTTGCTCTGGTAATTTAAAAAACGGAACTTAAAACTTCCAGTTACCATTTTTTACTTAGTTTTTAAAAACGAAAATATGTGATAAAACTGGCACTTCAGATATTTCTGGTGTCATTTAGTTGGCTTAAAGAAACATAATATATTCTGTTTACAGAGACATACTGTATTTTTACCAGATTGCCTCCCCTTGGGGACTAATCCAAAATATGGTTTTAAAAAAAGAAAGCCATAACATGCCTATTTTTATAATAGTGTTTTATTTATAATAGTAGAAGTTTGGAGGCCACAGGAATGTCTAATAATAGTAAACAGATTAAATAATTTTGCTCCATCTCTTGATAGAAAATTGTACATCCATTACAAATGATAAACGTTAAGAACATGTGTGTACATTGTAACATGGGAGAATGTGGATAATGTAAGTGAAAAACTCAGGCTGTAAGATGTATGACTGCTCTGATTTACTCCGTGGTAAATCAGAAAGACTGGGAGAGAATGTCCAACAAAACAGTTGTATCAGCGTGGAAGGATGACAGGCCAATTTTTAGTTTTTCCTTCTTTACTTACAAAATACTCGCTATGGTTGGCTTATGACATTAAAAAACAAACACACACAGTACACGTTATCTCCCAGCTTCTGTGAGTGAGGAGTCTGGGCCTGTCTCATACAGGTTTCCGCTTCAAATTCACCCTTTGGCAAATCGGATTCACCCTTTTGCAAAGCAAATTTGCCTGCAAAGGTGCATTTGAGAGGAAAACCTGTATGTAAAAGG